AAAAAAACACTACTTGAAGAGAGAGCAAATATCAGAATCAGACATGGCAGGAATGTTGGAATTATGAGATTAGGAATTTACAATAACTAGGATTAATATACTAATGGCTTTAATGGATAAAGTAGACAGTATGTAAGAACAGATAGGTGATATAAGCAAAGAGACAAAAATCCTAAGAAATAACAAAAAGAAATGCTAGGGATAAAAAAACACTCTAACAGAAATGAAGAATGCCTTTGATGGGCTTATTAGTTGACTGGACACAGCGGAAGAAGAGTCTTGTGCTTGAGGATGTATCAACAGAATCCTAAAAATCTAAAAGCACTGAGAACAAAGACTGAAAAAAAAAAAACAGAACAGAAAGTTCAAGGACTGTGGGACAACTACAGACAGTGTAACGTAAGTGATGAGAATAGCAGGGGGAAAGGAAAGAAAGAAAGGAGCAGAAGAAATATCAGAAACAAGAACGACGGAGAATCTCCCCAAATTAATGTCAGATATCAAATCACAGATTCAAAGATAACAGGGAGCAAGATAAATACCCTAAAATACTATACTGAGGCATATCATCTTCAAACAACAGAAAATAAAGTCCTTACACAGGAAAAAACACCCTACTGATACAGGAACAAAGAAAGAATCACATCCAACTTCTCAGAAACCAAGCAGGCAAGAAGAGAGTGGAGTGAAGTATTTAAAGTGTTGAGAGGAAAACCATCAACCTAGAATTCTGTACCCTGTGAAGTTTTTCTTTGAAAGTGAGGGTGAAACATATTTTTTCGTACAAACAAAAATTGAGGGTATTTATCAATAGACCTGCCTCACAATAATGATTTAAAAAGTTATTCAGAGAAAAGAAAAATAATATAAGCTCAGAAACTCAGATCTACATAGAAGAAGAGCATAGAAGGAATAAATTCAGGTAAAAAAGCCATTTAATTTTCTTACTTTTGATATAGAAGATAAATATCCTCAAAATAATACCGTATTCAAATATGTAGGCTTATATGTGTGTATATATACATACAAATGTATCTATATGCTTATATATATATATATTTTTTCTATTCACTTACATTCAGGGAAATGAATGACAAGAATGACAGAAAGAACTGAAGGGAGGAATTAGAATTTTTTTGTTACCAGGTACTTACACTGTGAGGTACGTACAGTGTTATCTGAAAATATATTTGGATTAGCTAAAATGTATATTGCAAATTCTAGGACAACCATTAAAAAAAGTAAAAGAAGTATAACTGACATGCTAAGAAAGGAGAGAAAATGGAATCATACAAAATGCTCAAACTAAAAAAGGTGGAAAAATAGTAGGAGAAAAAAATAGGAAAAACAAGGTCAACAAATATAAAAAAGTAACAAATATGGTAGATAATAATCCAACTATATCAATAATCAGTTTGAGTGTTAATGACCTAAGTGCACCAATGAAAAGCAGAAATCGTCAGTGTGAATCATAAAATAAGACTCAACTATATGTTGCCTATGTAGTTGAACTCAACATCATCATCAATCAACTGGACATCACTGACATTTATACACTACTTCAACCTGAAACAGCAGAATATACATTATTTTCAAGCTCCCATGCAATATTAACCAAGATAGACCACGTTCTGGATCATAAAACACAAGTTAACAAATTGGACAGAACAGAAATCACATAATGTTCTTTTTTTTTTTTTTCATATAATGTTCTTAGACCACAATGGAATTAAGCTAGAAATTAGTAACAGGAAATTGGAAAACCATAAAAGGGAACATGTGTGTTAGGGAGTATGGATAAGTCCATTTTCTAGCAGACCACAGTCATAGAAGTTTCTGGATTTAGGCTAGCAGCAGGACTAGAAATGTGCTTTGAGCAAACAGTGCTGTAACACATGGATTATTGAAGAGAAAGGTAACAGATCTAAAGAGAAGGATGAAACAAGAGACTCCAGGTAGGAAGCAGAAAAGGACCTGAAACAGAGCAGAAATCACAGATGTAAAAGTATGTAGTGTACATCCTCAGCCCATCTACTCCAACTGTCTTTGCAGTTGCACCTCAGTCTAGGTCATGAGCATCACCTCACTGGAATACTGCAGCAGACTCTTGCTGTTTGTTCAGCTTCTATTTTCCCCCATTGCACAGCAGCCATATTACCTTGCTAGAAATCACACCTTTGCTCAGCATCCTTCAGTGGCTTCCCATTACAACCGAAATGGAATCCCAGCTCCCACTGGGGTTGGCAGGAGCAAGTATCTGGCATTTGCCCTTCTCTCAGGTTTCCCTACTTACATCACTTGCTTCCAGCTCTGTTTGCCTTTTGTTCCTCTAGATACGGAGCTCATTTTCACTGATGGACTTTGCACCAGCGGCTCCCACTGCTGCAACATATTTCCACCAGACCTTTGCATGGTTGGCTTCTAAATTTTTTTTCACATCTCTGCTCAATTATCATCTTCTAGAGATGCCTTTTCTGATCACTGTTCCGAAAGCCATCATTCCTCTAGTTTTCCTATTATCTTGCTTTATTTCTTCACAGTGATTACCACCCTCTCCAATTATCCTCTTAACCTATATATACTCATTGTCTCACCCCCCACTCACAAATGTACATCCTGTAATGGCAGGACTGTGTCTGTCTTATTCACCATGTCCCCCTAATGTAAAGCACAGGCCTGTAATATGGTAGACAGTCAATAAACATACACTTAAAACACCAAAATTCTTACCATAATGCTAGTGAGTTATCACTGTGTAATGCTTACTGAGCTCAACTTCTTTCTTCTCCTAGCATAATTAAGCTGCTTTACGAACTGCACTGAAAACCATGTATTTTAGATCAGTAGTACCTTATAAATAAAATGTATTACCTAAAGTAGTAAAATTATTCAAACTACTCAGCTTTTATGATTAGGCAATTTGGTGGCTTTAAAATAAGACTGACAGTCTTACCTTACAAGCTAAGTTATACTGCTACAAAATTTATACAGTGGTGGTGAAATTCTTACTCTAAATGTGGACAGAGCCATGGAAGAACCTTCTGGGGAAGCAGATATGCAACCTCCCTATCTAGGTCATGAACTAGAAGGGTTCCTAGCTGCCTTCCCTTGTTCTCAAATTTGCCAGCTTAATTAAAATGTACAAGAGGAGCCAATTTTAAGAAAATAAATTAGCTATAGACATATGTTATATACACATACACAAACACATATGCATTTTCATAAGAAAACTAGAAAATGTAAAACCAAATAGTTAAAAGAATATACTCTGTCATACAGCAAGGCAGAAATATTTGAGCTAAGTAACTAAAATGATGAACAGGCTCTGAGAGAACAGGCCACTCCCTATTTGGTTTGGCCATGTTAAGTTCAATTCCCCCCTTCTCTTATTTGCTATTTCTATTAAACAATCTGGCCCATATGGCCTCTGAATGTGTGACTCTGCCCCAGTGCCATGGTGCTTCCATTTTCATTTTATAACAGTAGAGAGCTTGATTATAATCCTTCTTCCCAGCCACTTCAAGCTGAAACCCCCAATTTTGCTAAGAATGCTGTGTGGCATTTTTTTTTTTTTTAAAGAGATACCTTTCCTGCTTGGCTAGCAATATACACTGTGCCTTTTGATTTTATGAGGACTGTTTTACTGCCACTGATTACCTAGTTACTTAAATGATGGTGAGGCAATTCATTTGTTTTATTCAAAAAATAATTATTGAGTGCCTCCCATGCACCAATACAGTGATATTCTACTTCTGAAACTGCACACTAGAGAGACCGAGCACCACCACCTGATACCGCAGAGAGTGGTCTCCCTGTGATTGGTTTCTCCTGGGTTAAATGGATAACTCAGGCTCATCAAATGGTCCCGTACCTCCCACCCACAAACCACTACCAAGGCCAGTCACTACATTTTAGCTTAACTCTGAATTATTCCATGATTCTTCTGAATTGTTTTCATTTGAAAATAGAAAATTTCATTTGTTAAGTATGTAGCATAAACTTAACAGCAGTCCATGTCAACTCATTATTCCATGCTTGAGACCTGGAAAGAGATGAATGGCAGAGAGCCAGAAGCTTTGACACTGGAAAAGATCTAGCAGGTGCTGAGATAGAAGTGGGGCAGAAGGGCAAGGTAGCAGAAGGACCTGGAAGATGGCACAAGAGACGTGCGACTCTGCCTGTGCCAGGCTCATACTAGATTACAGTGATTAGATAACATTTATTAAAATTTATGGGATTGTTTCCAGTTTAATGTATAAACATACCTAATTTACTACTAGTACACCATGTACTCATTAATCTATAATAACCCTGTAAGGTGGTTACTATTATCCCCATTGCACAGAAAAGGACACTAAAGGGGAAACGTGTTCAATGAAAGTAATTTGCCCAATATTATATAGCATATGTTGTTAGAACTTACCCTGGGATCTTCCTACACAAATTCCATGATCCAGAAAGATGCAGTATAATATATAAAAGTTATGGATATAAACTATGTGCTAAATAAGGAATTAGTCTTTCACATGGTAAACACTGTGCAGATTGAGAGAAGAGGTTGTTCGCCAACCTGAATGGCTTTAAGAGGGAGAGAAATTAGGAGGGCAAAAATAACAGCTGTATTTAAAAAGTAATTTGGTTAGGAAAAGATTCAAAGGTGTAAAGCAACAGATAATTTTTTCCAGAAATACCAATATTCTGACTACATAACCTTAATCAGAAGCACATGACTTCAAATAATTGTTGAAAATTGAAAACTGATTAAGATTGTCAATATTATGATTATAATAATTTATTTTGAAAAGGGGAACACAGGAACCTATATTTTAATAATAGAAAGTAATTGTTTTTATCAGATTGTGGCCAAAATAACTTTATTATTAACAAAAAGAGAATACTGAATTCAGTTAAGGTTCCTCAAAGGATTCTGTATTCTAAAATTCCAATGCAGTAATAGCAATTTGAATTATTGAAAGTAACTTGTAAATAGTTCTACATACGTTCTTCTGACATCCTGTTCAATCATTGATCGAAGTTCTTTATCTTGGAAGAATTTGTTCCAAAGACTCTGTAATAAGGAGAACAATCTATTTAAAATAATCTCACACCTTTGCTTGACTTTTGTGATCTCAATTTAATAATCTAAATGATAAATTCATACTTCTCTGACATCATTTCACATTTCAGGTAGGAAAACTGAAATTGTATTAATTTTTATTAAAATATAACTTAATCCCAGGAACACATCCTTATTCTAACATCAGTTTTTCCAGTGATATTACTGTATATATTTAAAATTTTTCTATTTTATATATTTATATATATATATTTATATATATATGTATGTATATATATAAAGTGAATGATGCTTTTAGTTTTACTGCTATACACCCTGCTGGTACCTCTACAACAACAAAAAGGTCTGTCTGGATTACAGCAGGGCCATAAATCAACTGGTCCCAACTTGAACCTGACATGAATTCCCAATGTACTAAGAAAGATATGTAATGTTTTCTACAAGTTTGGTTTTATAATGAGATAGATTTTTATGAACTTTTTGAAAGTGAATTTAAGTAACGTTTTAAAAATTACTTGGCAATTTTTTATGCTGCTATACCATAGACTATATTAAAATAATTATGTATATTAGGAAAAAGAAATACAAATATATTAACTGGAAAAAATTTATGTTAGCTGTGAAATAGGAATTAAAGCAGCAACTGAAGAAGTTATACAATACTTTTAAAGTAGTAATTTTTCCCAGGCTTCACTAGAATGTGAGTGGAGATAAGCATGAACTTCTTCACAGACTCACTGCAGTTACTATTTTCCTGGGAATCAGTCCTAACAAGTGAGTCCTTCTCTGTTTTTATGATAAAGGGAGGCTTGCTTCAGCCTTCCCACTGCACCTTGATAAAAACAGTCCTATACTCATCGCTTTGCTCTTTTTTTGTCCTTAATTCTTACAGACTCCTGTGACTTCTCTATAGTGCCATTACATAGAAATAGATCATAAACTTCCCCACAACACAGTATGCACATAGCATGGAATAATTCCCATAAGGTTTTAGGTGGTATAGTATGGGAAATTGAAAAAAAAAAGTTGGCATGAAATAACACAGCCTTCATGGTGATTGATAACTAATCTCATAAGTAGGTTCTTGAAAGAGGTGGAGACATAAATAAAAATGAACTTTACCCCTTCATCCTGTGAAAGGGGATTATTTATCATCAAGTCTTGCTGGCCAACAACCTTTCTTGGGTTTGTGATGTGCTGGTAAAGAAAGAAAGAAGACACGCAAGGATTAGAGGCAACCGGACTTTAAAGCAAGCATAAGAAAACAATTACATTCATTAAAGTACAACTCACTATTTCTTTAACGCTGCTATACCATGCTCTTAATTCTTCAGTTCTAGTTATCCACTGACTTTTATCTTGAGGAAGCACACAAAGAAATAGCTGTAAAAAAAAAAAAAAGGAAACTTCTTGTAAAAACCATAACTAAAATGTGAAACTCTGACAAATAGAATCACCTGAAAATTTAATGATATTCATATTTGGTTTCTCATATTTCTATCATTCCAATTCTCAATGAATTGCATTTGGGGATATTTAAGAAATATATATTTGGACAATTCCAAAAGTGAACAAAGGCCAAAAAACATGATCACAAAAGCTACATCACAAAATGGAATCAACTTCACCTTTAGATTTAGGGATCAACTTCCCCTTTAGATTTATATGAACAAGAAAAATTCATTGAGGTTCAAGTATAACTCCCATTTTGTAGTCTTATATTAACAGGGATGATGGGAGTATTAAGAGGCACAAGGTCCAATTAGTAATTTCAAGGTTTAAGATTTATCTTAAAACAAGCAGATAAAGGGCAAAGAAGAACAATCTTGAGGGCACAGCCTGAGAAATGAAGCCATTCCTTTTACAGCAGAAAATGCAATTCACAACTGGTAGTCAGCTTATGAAAATAACAAGCATTCTTAAAAAGACAAATTTGATTTAATTTACTTTAATACAACACTAAAGTAAATCTGGATTTGAGTTTATTTTTAGCTAACAAAGGATACTAAAAGTTAAACAACAAGGAATGGGGGTGGGCACAAATATTTGTACACAAATATTCTAGCAGTAGGTCTCCTGCCTTTACCTCCTGTCTCTAACAGAAGAAAAATGTATTTTAATTATTAAATTTAAATTATTAAATCTAAAACTGTCTAATACATTACGTGTTTCCTATTGGCTTTACTTGCAGACTCTATATGCTCAATTTATGCAGATAAACCCTAAACACCTTTCAATAGAATTCATTTTAGAAATGAGTTTTAAACCTATATTAACTTATTTTTAGAGACCAAAAAGGGAATAACATTTCTAAGCAATTAAAAAGATAACTGCAGATTACTACTGCAGTTTTGGTAACCAGTGGCCCTCTCTCTTGGAAGGAGACTTACCTACTTTCCTTCCATTTTTCCTTCTTGCTACCCTTCACTTTGTGTTTGTAGATACAGAAATATGACAGATCTTTCCCACTTGCTATTTCTGAAGCAAAAACGGAGGATGACTAACTGCCGGCACTTATCTGATAGGAACCTCAATGCTAATCCCCCTCTACTTCTGCCCAGCAGCTAAAAGGATTTCTGCAAAAGCCTATGGGAAGTGGAAAGGTGTTGCTCTGAATTCTGCACCATCAAATGAAATGAAGAGACAGTTATTTCAAATGGCTCCTTTACCATCATCAGTTATTCAGATTAAGGTGGTTCAATCTTATTGGCAAATGTCCTATGAAAGATAAACACGGATGGCCAAAAATACAGTGAGTGAAGTCTCTTAGAAAACTCAGTGATCCCCTGCAGGGGTAATCTTCCAGGGCATCAGGTAATGTGTTGATATACTGCAACCACAAACTGTAAATAAATATTTTCTTCTTACCTTCCAGCAAATGCTTCGAAATCTGCTGCTTCTCAGCTGCCCATTAATCCCCTTCTGCCTTATTGTCGTCAAGTAATTGTTGTTTACAAATAGTTCTTCCCATTCTTTCCTATATGCAAGAAACCAAAGCATGGGAATCCTTTTGTAAAAATTCTTCTGCTTGGAGAGGAATGCTACAGGAAATTAATTTTAAATAAGTCTAAGAAATGCAACTTTTAAAATGTATATATTTAGTTGTGTACTGTTTCTGAAAGCATGGCTGTCTTTTTGGACAGAGTTCTTCTGTAAATTTAATGAATATGTAGATTGCTATAATTATGCCAGCTACTTAAATTTCTAATGTCTATAGAGGTTATTCCATTTCCTCTAAAATGTTGGTAATGCAGTTCAATGAATAAATAAAAAAAGAATAATAATTTAAGTATATTACCGCTTTAGTCCTTGACAAAGATCTACCTGCTCCAAAAATACACAACAAAAAAAGCATTCTGTTGATTATACTGGCTTCTCACATGAAATATCTGTTGAAATGAACCCATTTCTCTTTAATGTCAGGCTGGGCAGTTAAGTATAATATTCTTTAACTTTTAGTGCTATTTACTTTGAAATCTCTGCAACTTCTTTCTACATGATCAGTTTTAAAATTTTAACAGGTGCAGGCAACTTTGAAAAAAAAATTAAAAAATTAAAAAGCCTCACTGTAAAAACTGTTAAAGGCAAGCTTGAGTACCTTGCAGTACCTATGGCTGAGCAGAGAAACAACTGAAATATGCCTCCCAGGCACGCAGACACCAGGGGCTTAACACCTGTGCCTCATTAACATACAAGTAAATCTGCTCTACTGGGAAACAATTGGAAATTAATTGTCCCAAACCATTTACTGAGTTTGAATAAAGGAAGGAGACCTATCTTCCCTGCATCTTGTACCAAACTGCACATCAGTAGTCATTTGCCAACAGTTAAGGCTATTGAGTGCGGCTTTATGAAATTTCTCTCAGATTTCATAATGCTACAATAAACTTATAATTTGAAATTTATTACCAAAGTTGGAACCCTGGCAATCTCTTCAGAGACATTTATTCAAAAGAAAGCCTCTAAAACCCTCAATCATCCTTCTCTAAGAAGCAGGTGGTGGCCACCAGTCACTCCCTACTCATTTTGAGAAAGGCCAGCCTTCCACACTATGCTGAGATCCAGTAATCTAACCAAGTGCACACCTCAAGCCCAGAAACCTGACACTGGAGCAGGCAGCATATCCACAGAGGTTTTCAGAGCATGACCAAGGCAACGGCACAGGAACTTCCAGCCACAGCCCTGTGGCACTGACCCCCAATCACACCAAGCCTTCTGCCAGTGGGGCCTGTGGCTATGTGTGCTGAAAGGAACACACTGGAAGAAATCACTTCATGAAAATTTCTTATTCTCATCACTCCAACATGAGAGAAAACATTTTATTTGTATTTTATTTAATTTGCGCAATAATTAAAATTTATTTTAATTTGTGCAGAAAATGAAAAATTCTCAAGCTTTGGGTCATTTTAATTTCTTCTTGTTTAGAACTTTCTTGTCCTTTGCTTTGCCTATATATATATTTTTTGGGATAAAGTTGATATACAATATTACATGGTCTCAATGTACAACACAGTGACTCAATAATTACATACATTACTAAATGCTTTCCACAATAAGCATAGTTATCCCATTGCCATACCAAGATATTACAATATTATTGGTTATGTTCTCTATGTTTTACTTTCATTCCTTTGACTTATTTTACAATTTGTAGTTTGTACTTCTTTATCCCCTTCACCTATTTCACCTATTCCTACACCCCACTCCTTATGGTAACCAATAAGCCTGTTGTCTATATTTGTGGGTCTATTATTGTTTAGCTGGTTTTAGATTCCACATGTTAAGTGAAATTGTATGGTATTTGTCTTTCTCTGCCTGGTTTATCTTACTTAGCATGATGTCCTCTAGGTCCATCCATGTCACAAATGGCAAGGTTTCCTTCTTTTTAGGGTTGAATAATAGTCCATGTGTATATGTACTGTCCTTTGTTTATTTTAAACAGTATAGGATAATGGTTAAGAGAAGGGATATCAGAGCCGCACTCCTGGGATCAAGGACAGCCATGCATTCAGAAAACAGTACACAATTTAACTAGCTACTTAACTAGCTAAGCATGGGCAACTTACTTAACCTCCCTGTGCCTCTGTTTCCTTATTTGTAAAATGGAATAGTAATAATAGCATCTAATTCAAGGAATTATTATGAGGATTAAAAAATATGAGAAGCCCTCAGAAGGACATCCAGCATAACACTTAAGTTAATATTATTAATAACAATTTTAACATGCTTTTAGTTTTACTTGCCTTATTATTGGTCTAAGAGAGTTTCTGATACATTGAAGACATTGCCTCTTTGCCTGCCATATGTGTGTGTGTGTGTGTGTGTGTGTGTGTGTGTGTTTAAACCAATTACTTTGATATTTTGATTTTCAACACACTGAAGCTTTTAAATTTCTGTATAATTTAAACCCAACACTATTTTCTCTTTATGCTCTTTCCACTGTTTTCATGCTTAAGTAATTCTTAGCCAGTCCAACATCAAAGAATGTTCACTGAAATCTTGAAGTTTTTTTCTTTTAATCACTTTTAGTCCATTAGTATTACCTATAATATTTTAAATACATTCTCTATCTTCCAACAATTTCACATATACTATCCATGTCACACTTTGTTCAAGTTTTGTTTTTATCCAGTTTTGGTAATACTCAGAGATGAGATCAGCAATAACTACATAGAAACATCACAGGAGTACATCTCAGGAAAAGTAAAAATTTTTAAATAGCTTGTGGTCTATGAACAAAACGAAAAGATTTCAAATGCATTCTGAATCCAAAAGGAATCATAATTTGTGAGAGACCCTGCAATTCCATGGCCTGAAAACACCAGTATGTTCCAGATGAGAAGTATGAGGCAATGACTCCCGGGCCTCTGCCAAGGTACCGAGGCCTGTGAAGAGAGACATAGCCAGTGGCTGGGTTCACTGCCATCTCGCCATGTCCTGCAGCCTTTTAAGGTTAAGTTACACACTACTTACGTAATGAAGGATAATTATTTGTTAGCTTAAATTAGACCTTGTGCCTTGACTACAGTGTTGGGAAAGAGAAAGGAGACTGAGGCATATGAAATGCAAACATTATCTCTGAAGTTCACAATCCTTTAAATGTATTCATGAGTACTTATCCTTCCAATTAAGGCACACTATCTCAAACTGACCAGGAGCCACAACAGAGGAACATAAAGGATACAAAATAATCTATTAATTGTCTTTCTTTTACATGGAATAGTGTTTCATTAATAAACTGTGATACAGAGTAAACATAATAAACATTATTTAGTGCCTAGTATGTGCTTAGCACTCAGAGATACTTTTAAACAGCATTAAGTTAAGAGAGTATATGAATATGTGGACCAACAATAATGTATTAAAGCAAAGCACTCTGGTGGGGAGAAATAGCTTTATACCTAAAAATTAAAACTCAGGGTAGAAAATAGAAACTGAAATTCTACCCCAAGTACTGAACTGTCCAAGGTTAAACAGTCCATAGCATTCAAAATGTTGAAGAATTTAGCCTTTCGAGAGGAGGGACACCAAAATTGAAGTTTTCTGCAACCTCAAATATGAATGGTGGACTACTTCTGAAAGCAGGCAAGATATGGCAGAAGAAAAGAAGTCTTGAGAAGTCAGTGGTGGAATTTTCCAGTTTAATTAACAAAAATAAAGGAAAGGTAGTTGTTAAACTTACCTAAAAACAGATACAGTGTGTCTGTGGTAGTAAAAAATCTCGCAATGATGCTATTAAAATGCTAAAAATATCCATTATGTTATAATAAATTTAGGTGAACCACTTTTTACCTCTACTACAACTCTTCTAGGGTGTGTATTTTTAACCCTTCTTTATAAAAAAGGAAACTAAAGCTCAGAAAAATTAAAATCAGTTGCCCAGAGAAAAAAGGAAGGATAATTAGGAAAATCATCTTCCTGGAACAACATGGAAGACAAGTACAGGGAAACACGGTACCCAGACTTAAGAGGACACAGACTCTATGGCAACAAGGCAAGGCAAAAATGTGACCTTAGAATCTTCTTTAGATTTTTAGCTTTTGAACTTCAAGTCCGAGGGTATTGAGACAAGTTTTCACTAGGTGGATGTAGTAGGTAAGAGAGCAGCTGCTGTGAATGGTTAAGAACCCCCTGGGGGCTTTGCGTGTGCAAAGTCCTCCACCTGAACAGATTAGAGGCCTGGGCCTCAAGGACTCTCGGGACAAAGCATTAGTGCCCTCTAGTGGCAACCACGCTGCCTTGCAGACACTGGGTCCCTGAAAACCTAACCGGCATCAAAGCAGGGAGAGGCTGGGAGGCTGGTTTCATTTCTCCTGCCAATGTTAATGGATTATTAGTGGCTGCCTTGAAAGCACTGTGCTGAGAAGGATTCTGAACCTACCTCTGTGCTCCTCAATGAAGAACACTGACTGATTAAAAATGTCGGCCATGAGCATTGCAATCATTTCTAAGTCAATGAAATCAATTTTTGCAGCAGAAATTGGTTGGTGCCTTTCCTTGAAGACCTATTTAGGTAGTTAAGCCTTCTGCATTTTTGGGGGGGGAGGGAACCTGGAAATCAACCAGAATATGTACTGAATACAGCTAATGATCATAAGGAGATACCTATTTCTAATAATATGTTTTAATATAGTATTTTCCCAAGATATGCACATAAAATTAGTATGAAACTCATCAGTACCTAGTACTAGTCAGTAAACTTGTTTTTGTAACCTAAACAATGCATAAATGACTTAATTATGTGGCAATTCTGGATTAGAAAATTCCTGAATCACTGTCCCAAAGATGATACAGTCTCTAGAGAAAATAATTTTATATGTATATTTTATATGATGGTTCTACCTCATTTTCAGGCATTATTTGGACAAGGAACACTGTCTCTATGAGGCTAGCTTAAGAAATCCAAACTACAAAGCTTTCAGAGACTACATACAGCCTAGTACTGGGAATCTCCAATACTTGGTTAGGAGGAGCTAC